CTTAGCTTGAAAGGCAGCTCAATGGTGACAGTGCTAGTGTTGGAAAATCTGAAGAAGCAATAGCATTAGCCACTGCTTTAGCTGCATCTAGAACTCAATACAATCAACCTAGGGAGAGGAGCAACAATGAGGCTCCACAAACAGGTTTGTTCTGTCGCTACTGAAAAAAGGACAATCATGTTAAGGAAGACTGCTGGAAATTGAAGAGAAAGAATGCTCAGTTAGCCAACAATGCTGGAAATTCAGGGCAAAGGGGCCGAGGCTTTTCTGGTTCCATTGACACCAACATGCATGATGGTAACAATTCAGGAGGAGCACCTTCTTACAGTCCAACTAGTCCAGTCAGTCAGCAGGATCCAGGATCACCCTCCTTTGCTCGATTCACTGTTGACGAGCTCAACAGACTCAAGTCTATGCTTCTAGCTCCTGCTGTTCCACATGGTCATGGGTCTCAGGCAAACTCAATGGTTGTTAAGGACACTGCTATGACAAGTAAAGTTGTTCTATCAACTCTTACACCTAAATCTAGTAATGGAATTTGGGTTTTAGATACTGGTGCAAGTGACCATATCATCTGTGCCATTGAATCATTTTTGAGATGTAGAGTAGTGCAAAACATTTCTATGACTCTTCCAAATGGTCATGGGTCTCAAGCAAACTCAGTGGTTGTTAAGGACACTGCTATGATAGGTAAAGTTGTTCTATCAACTCTTACACCTAAATCTAGTAATGGAATTTGGGTTTTAGATACTGGTGCAAGTGACCATATCATCTGTGCCATTGAATCATTTTTGAGATGTAGAGTAGTGCAAAACATTTCTGTGACTCTTCCAAATGGTCAACAGGCTCAGGTTACACACATAGGCATAGTAAAACTTTCTTGTGAGATATTACTTACTAATGTCCTACTGGTTCCTTCCTTTTCCTACAATCTCATTTCAGTTAGTCAATTGACTCAGAACAGCCCAGTCTCATTGCTTTTTCAATCATCTTTTTGTCAAATACAGGACCTCATATCTCAACAGAGAATTGGTTTAATCCACGTAGATAGAGGCCTTTACCTGCTTGGAGAGAACTATGTTCCAGGAGAGACTTGCAAACCTCACATTCTTGGAGTGAACACCAGTCCAAGCTCCAGTTTATGGCATCAGAGATTAGGCCACTTATCTTTTTCCAGACTTCAATCTATTCACAAAGTTTGTAATGAAGTTGATTCACCAGTTGACAATAGTTGTGAGATTTGCCATTTGGCTAAACAAAAACGATTACCCTTTGTTAGAAGTACTTCTTAGTCTAAGTCTGTGTTTGATGTGATCCATGTTGACATTTGGGGTCCTGTGGATGTTATATCTCATGATGTATATCAGTATTTCCTTACTGTGGTAGATGCTTATAGCCGTTGCACATGGCTGTTTCTCATGAGTCACAAGTCAGAGGCTAGACCTCTTCTGCAATCTTTCTATGCTTTAATTAGTACTCAGTTTCAAAAGAAGTTGAAGGTTATTAGATCAGACCAAGGACAGGGATTTAACATGCCAAATTTTTATCAACAACATGGGATAATACATGAAACCAGCTGTCACATCAGAATGGACGTGTTGAAAGGAAACACCAACATTTGCTAAATGTTGCTCGAGCTCTTAAGTTCCAGTCAGGTCTTCCCACTAGTTTTTGGAGTCACTTTGTTCTCCATGCCACCTACCTCATCAACCGAATTCCCACACCTGTCCTGAAAAACAAATCCCCAATTGAATGCTTGTATGACATTCCTCCTGATTACAACAATCTTAGGGTCTTTGGCTGCTTGGCATTTGCAACTGTTACCTCAGAACATAAACCAAAATTCTCTACTCGTGCTATTAAATCTGTCTTTCTTGGTTACACGTTTGGTGTCAAGGGTTACAAACTTTATGACTTAGAGAATCACAAGGTTTTCACAAGTAGGGATGTGCATTTCCATGAATCCACTTTTCCTTTCCTAAGCCCTGCAACTTCAGTTCCTCAACCAAGTTCTGTTGCTCCTTCCTCTACCACTTATTCTCCCTTCCTTTCTCCAGAACCTTAGGTTTCTGCCTTCCCTACATCTTATGATAACCAGCATACCACTGATCCGGATTACTCTCCTTCTCCTACTGCTTTACAGTCTGATGATGATTCTGTCATTTCTCCTCCTTCACCTTCATCATCTACACCTGCTTCTCCTATTCAGGACAACTCTTCTTCTTCTCCTGTGGCCTCAGAATCCCTTCCTATTTGTCGCAACCGCCCCTCGAAATCGGGGTATCGCTTGCGAATAAGCTCGGAGTCGCCATCGATCTTAGTTGTGGTGGATCGAACACCATTTGGTTCGGTTTCAACCTTGGGTTCAAAACCGGAGACTGGTCTGCGAAATTTAGAGTTATAGGGTTCGGGAGTACGGTTACGTGTGCGGAAGTGTATTCACACCCCACAACACCCAAAATTGGTACTACTTAAATTGATAAGTTTTAAGAGGTTGAGTGTTTTATTATTTGCGGTTTGTTTGTGTATTTAATCGTAAAATTGAATTATTTTAATAATTTTGGGTGTATTTTTAGAGTTCAATTGGATTGTATTATTACCATAGATTTTGAACTGATGTAGTTACTTGATAATTTTCATGTCTATTGATGTAAAAATATTTTTTAGATTAGTTGGACTCGAACCTATTGGTTGCCTACGTACCCGACTTAGTCGGGATCAAAGTCCACGTAGTTCGTTTGAATTGATAGGTTTTAAAATGTTGACCTAGCATGTTCTATTGACCATGATTAAGGTTCGAGATTGTATTTTTCATAAGGAAATGTGTTTAGATTTTATAATTGTATGATTGACGATTATGAGAGAAGTTTCAACGTGAAGATTATCACGGTCTACTGACCATGATTTCGTATTAAGAATTTTTAGAAAAGAAATATGTATGTTGATAATGATTTCAAGTGGAGTTAGTTATTATTCTTATAGAATTCAGTATTAGAAGTTTATTGACGTTAGAAAACTTTCCTCGAGATTGACTAAGTAATTTGTCTCACTTAACTTACGTATTAAGGTTATGTAATATAAAGAAAATTGAGATTAATAGTTCAAGAAGCGGCAGGCAACCAGCCTATTGGTTTAGTACATTGACTGAAATTTGGTGAGTCAGTTGTGGTCACTAGTTCGAAGCGCACAGAAACTGAGTTTAGTTTTACCACTCGTTTTTTAAGGAGTGGCAAGGATGGGTAATTTTGCAAAGATAACGAGGGTAAATTGGTCTTTGTGAAAGGTCGGGTATATAAACCCATTTTGGTGAAACCCTAGCCGCTAGCCACTTCAGGGGGCCAAGATCAGGTGACTAGGGGAGGGGGTCTCTTAGTCATGTGACCAAGTAAATCTCCACCCTTCAACCTCATTTAAATCTAATGGCTCATATTAGCCTCATTTAATGAAGGACAAGATGGTAATTTAAACAGATTATTTATTTAATAATTAAAATAAAATAAAAATGTGGGTTGAACCCGGCCGCTGTCCCTCATATGCTCCCGCCGGCCGCCTGTTACCGGTAGCATTTTTTTCCCTCCCCGGCGGTCCCTTCTCGGGAACTTGTCCTCTCCGTGGGGATTTTTGCCCCAAAGTGAGAATAGTTGAGATATTTTCGGTACAGAGAGGTGAGGATTTTTGCCCCAAAGTGAGAATCGTGGAGATATTTTTGGTACCGGTACACACACACAGAGAGAGAGAGAGAGAGAGAGAGAGAGAGTTTTCCGACGATCGGAGATCGTGAATGAGAATTTTCCGACAACAGTGTGAGATTTGTGATGTTTGTCAACCTACTTTGTAATGTTTATAAGTATGATTTGTAATGTTTATATCATTTTCGGTTTGTATTGTTTGTCATTTTTTCTATCATGTTAGTAATGTTTATGTGACTAATTTGTATATATTGTAATTTGTAATGTTTATTTGTCTATTTTGTATACTTTGTATTTATTGGTTTGTAGTTCCAGTTTATCGATTTGTATTATAAGTAGTGGTGTTTTGTATGGTTAGTATGGTTTGTACTGTTTGTCAGTTTATTTTGTAATGTTTGTAAGTTTTGTTATGATTGTAATGTTTGTTGGTTTATTTTGTAATGTTTGTGAGTTTTGTTCACCATGTTTGTCATTTTTGTCGGTCGTGTTTGTAACATTCGTATACTTCTGATTTGTATGTTTTGTGTTTGTAAGTAGTTGTATTTTGTACGGTTAGTATGTTTTGTATACAATGTTAGTATTATTTGTATATTTTTATGATGTGATCACTAATTCATATACTTTGTAATATTAATTTGTATACTTTTATGATGTGGTATGTATACTTTGTAATATTTAATAGTGATATTTTTTGGTTTTAGTAATCTTTGTATATAATATTATCTTGATTTGTATACTTATATTATGTGGTTCTAATACTTTTTAACTCTGGAGTTTTTATTTTTAAAATAAAAAAACTGATAAAAAAAGAAACCAAGGAAACGCGCGTGCATGACTGGGACTGGGAAGTTTAAGAATCACTTAATAAAAGAAAAGCCAGCTTCGACAAAAAAAAAGGCAGTTGAGATTAAAAAAAAGAGACGTGTTGCAGTTGTTCTTGACCGGGGAAAAAATAAACAAAAAGGAAATCAATTATTTATAATATCACAACTGCCCTTTTTATTAACTAAATATCCCTCCCATTTTCAACCTTTAGATTAGGATATCTAGATCTAAGGGCTAAGAGGGGCTTAGCCACTTGACTAAGGACTCCGCCCTAGTCACAGGATCCGCACTCCCACTTCAGCCTTCCCATTACTCTCGCCACCTCTTTCCCTTCTCTCGATTCTTATTCTTCCTCTCGCCCTCTCTTCTTCTGCTCTCTTTTAAATCGAGCAAGGTAAAAAGAAAGAACAAAATCCTTATGCATTCTCCTCTCTTTCTAGAAATTACGAGAGAAAAGGAAAAAAGGGGAAGATAACGCCGGCGACGATGACTGCAGCAGTCGACGCTGGCGATGATTATGGTGACGAGGAAGGTTAGAGGTAAGTCTCTTCTCTGGTTGCATGTCGATTTTTAGGGGGTTTTCGGATTGTGATTGCTTTTTTTCTGGGTTCCATTTGGTCTGATCGAGGAAGAAAAGGAGGATGTGGTCGCCGCTACATCGACGATGCCAGTTGCGACGCCGGCGGCAGAAAGGAGCAAAGCTCCGACGAGAGGCTTCAGGTGGGTTGTCTACCTTTGGTTTTGATTCGCTTTTTCTTTGTTTTTGGTCGAATCTGACCTTTTATTTTTTGTTTCTGGTTTCTTTGGTGGAGGTTGACGAGGGAAGGAATGGCTAGCGAGAAGAAGAGTCACCGCCGGCAAGCTCTGGTGACAGTGCCAGCGGTTGACTCGTCAGAGGTGAGAATCAAATTTTATTCTTGGTTTGACTTGAGGGGTTTTAGTGGATTCGGACCTGTTTTGTTTTTTATTGTTGTTGTGGGATTCAGTAATGAAGTTGGTGGTTATCTTAGGCGTATTTGGGACTTTTGGGTTTGATTGGGTGATGGTTTTGAAACTGAATTGTTTATATGGGTTCTTTGAGTTTTGTGATGGGTGAAACCTGGGTTTTGGGGCTTGGATCGAATGTGGGATTTGATTTCGGTTTATGCTTTTGAGATTGTATTTTAGTTGGAGTGGTTTTAAAACTGGTTTAAAGATCTGGGTTTTGAAAATATGTGACTGTGCAAATGCATTTGATGATTTTGAGTTAGGATAACGGCTGGTTTTGAACTGGAAATTGATGGGGTTTGTTGTGAGGTTGATAAATTCCTAGATTGTCAAGTTCATGGTTGAACACTCGAATCTGATTATTTATTTAGGTAGTAGGTTATGCAAGTTGATGAAGCAGAAGTAGAAACTGAGGGTTTTTTTTTGGACTCTCCTTTGCCTCTCTCTTTGTGAATCTATGTGGCTAAGAAAAGAGTGGAATGAGAATTTTAGAGTTGTCTGTCTTTTATGCTGGGATTGTTTGTGTGTTTTCTCAGCCAAGAAGAAAAAGAGAAGATGAGAGCTTTATGTTATGTGTTCATTTATAGAGTGTGAATCAGAAGTAAGGAAGTAGTGGGGAGGACTTTCTCTCTTATCTGTCTGTTTTGTTTGGGAAGGGGAATGGAAAGGAAGAAAAGAAAAAGAAGCCTGTTCTTTGTTCTTTTTGCAGAAATTCGTTTCGGTGAAGAAAAAGAAGAAGTTTTCGGCAGGAAGTTCGGGGGAGAAGAAGAGAAGCTGTCTGGAAGAAGGCGAAGAAGAGGATGAAGAAAAGAAAGCACCCTTCTCTTTTTCTACAGCTCGTGAGGAGGAAGGAGAAGAAGCCTGATGTTGGGTTCTTTCTTTTTTTCTTTTTTTCTTTTCTGTAAGAAGAGGGAATTCTGCCGTGGGGAAAGAGGAGGAGAGATCCAAATCCCAGAAAGCAGTCCCCCTTTTTTTTTCGGAAGTGGGGGCATGGGGAAGAAGAAGATGAAGAGCTTTCGTAGGGAAGAGGAAGAAGGAAGAAGTTTTTTTTTGTTGTTCTTGTTGTTGTTTTTCCCTCTTTTTTTGTTTGGAATTTTGAGGAAGGAGTCGATCAGCAGAAGGAAGGAAGTGACAGAGAAGAAAAAGTTCAGGGAATGTTTTTTTGTTTTTTCCTCTTTTTCCAGAGCTAAAGAGCTCTTTTTATAGCCAAAAATCATATGTGTTGGCACAATGTAATTGGATTTGAAAGGTTATAGGGGCCGCCCTCTATGTTTGTGTAGCTTATGGATTGGGTTGGACCGGTTTGGGTATGTGAAGTGGACTAAACCGGTTGGGGTTGGTCTGACATGGGCATGATTGGTGAATTGAGTTTTTTTGGCTTTTGTGTGGACTGACCCGTTGATTAGCATTGACCAGAGTTGACTGGTCTTTGACTTGGGCAGGCTTGGATCATTTTATTTTTGTAGTTGTAATTAGTTGTTATTTAATATAATTGTATTAGTAGTTTTTATTTAGTAATGTGATTGTAAGTAACTTATTTTAGTGAGATGTTATTTCTATTCCTAATTCTTCTTTTCTTTTATCTATGGAAACCAAAGTCCAATCTCATAAGACCCAATGTTTTAAAAGCCAATTATACAATCAATTTTGTGATCAAAACTAAGTGAATGTTAATTCATCTAATCAAAGCGTGGCATCCTTATCAAATTGTACCAATTAAGATTAGCTATTACTACTCTCATTGATCCACATTATACCGATGAGCTATGGCCAACAAGACTCCTCATTCCAAGCACTACAAATACATTTTTAGTTAAAAGATCATTTAAAGGTAGAGCCATGTAAACTTTGTAGTGGAAGCAAAAATTTATGACACATGGGTTACAAGATACACCGGTGCTTTTCTTCTTTTCCATCGTTCAAGAGGCTTTGTGGTTTTATGTCCTAAAAAAAAAAGTTGTGGTTTAGTTTGCTGCTTGGATCTACGGCTATATATGTGGAGCAGTAGCCAGTATGGCATTAGGGTTTAGTGTGACTATTATTGAGGGTTGATCCCTCTTCAACTCTGTCAAATATATTTTTTCTTAATTCATTTACTTGAGAGCGATCATTCTAATCATGATTAGTCGATTCTATACTGCATAAACGTAGTTTCAGTATTCACACCATCATACAATTCAAATATTCTGTGTGAATACTCAAACAACATTATGTGAATATTATTAACTTTTTCACATTTGCCACCCAAAAAATGTTCTTGTTTATTATACATTCACTTTAAACTTCATTTCATCGTTGGTCATTGTCCGTCTATTTTCATCAAGTTCATCCTACACGGTAGTCGACTCAATGGAATTGGATGGTTGGTGTTCAATGATGAAATGAAATTTAAAACGAGTGACTAGTAAAAAGGGAAATTTATTTGATAGCAAACGTGGAAAAATTGATAATTTGAGTGGCCAAAGATGTAATTTACTCAAACTTATCCTTAAAAATATGTCCAAATGGTTTTTATAATTGAAATTGTTATATTGAAAATAATATTTTAAAAAAGGTTTGTTCTTCAATCCCTTTGAAAAAATAATAATGCCTCCTCCTTTCTGTAAAATCCGAAAACTGATAAAAAGGGTGTTATGCTGGATGTCATATGGGTTTTGGATTACGCTAGTCAACCGGATTTCTTTTTATCGGGTTTGGGGCGGGAAATGTATCCTCCTACTCTAAATAGCAAAAACGTGTTTCAGTGTTGTTTAGTCTTTACTTCACCCCCTAACGTCATTCATTCATTCGTCGTTTTGTGGCCATAAATTTGGACAACACATTATATCGCATCGCATGGTGGTAATAGTGATACACCATATATCTGACCTCGTATCGTAGTATAATGTGAGAGTATGAGTTTTCGGACGAATAAACAGAGTATACAGTAAATTTATTCCTCGTCTTGAAAAGCTGTGCCAAAGTATATACATGATAAATGAGTTTTCCATTTTGGGATTGGCATTTACTGCCCACTGCTCCGCTATCTTTCGGACCATAGCTAGGATAGGACGACTCATTACTCTTCATATATGATTACGCCAACAGCAACCACTACTGCACTGCACTGCACACACATCTCTACACCAAGACTACATTCAAACTACTGCCCTCTTCCTCTTTCTCTCACTCTGCTGATCTGCACAAACTCTCTCCTCCGGTTTCCCTATGGCAGCCGGCTCAACTTCTCCAATCAGGTACCATGGATTCTTCTTCTTCTTCTTCTTCTTCTTCTTCTTCTTCTTCTCCTCCTCTCTCTCCTTCTCTTTCCTGTTGCATATGTCTGTGTATGTTGGGATCGTTGTTTTCAGGTAGATAGGACATGTGAGATTCTTGATTATGGTATAGTACTAGTGTGCATGTCTGTCTCCTACTTTACTGCATTAGTGATTGAGCCGTTGTTCCAGCTACCTAATATTGTTGGATTAATTACGTACTTCCAGCTATATGTTAATTAATGTACTAATCAGAGTTAGGGTGCCCAGCTACCTAAACTTTGGTGGCTTCAGTTGGGAGTAATGGGGTGTAATTAATTGATCTTATGATGAGTGGAGATATCTATATATCCATTTCTTCTTCCCCCACACCCTGCCTTCCATTTGTATTTATTTGCAAAAGCTTTATGGTAACGGTCCAGGTCCTGTTTGGTTTGTGTGCTTACAGATAGCTAGTCGCCGGTCAGCCAAAGAAACAAAGGAAGCGAGGAATTAAAGGGCCATTTAGGGTTCGTATTTGAGGTGATTTATGGGTTAATTGTTTTGTTCAATGGGCAGATTTGGATTGATAGGTGTCAATAAAAGTCTGTTTGGTGCATTGATTTGATACACATTGTTGATATGCAGAGCAAGAGTAGGTCATTTTCAATGAAAATTTCGATCAAAAATTCTTACACATATATAATTGCACCATTTACGTTGTCTCCAGTGGCGTTAAGGGTTTTCTTGGAGCAAGGGAAGTAGGGAACATACAAACTAACATGGCAGATTGGGTCATCCTGCTAATTCATGCACATTTTAATTAGTTTATTTAGTTAGCGAGGAAGACGAAAGCTATATATGGGGTTTACGGCCCTATTTAGCTAGGCTCTTTATAGTTTGTTATTTCTTTTCCAGTGTTTGACTGTTCGCTTTTTCTTCACACTTAGATTGTTTTTAGGATCGAAACATATTCGATCAAATTCTATTCGGTCCAAATCGGTATAATTTGATACAATTGTCGCCCACCTTTAAACTAAATCCCTTTTTCTATTATTTATACGCGCAATTGCTTCAAGTGAGACCACGCCCTATATATTTATGTTTGTTTTTTTGCTAGGATATGTCAAGCGGCAATGAAATTGAGCTTGTGGGAATTTCATAGCTTCAGCTTAGTGGTAGCAATGATTCAGAGGAGTATACTGGTGTATCTAACTCATGTGACGAGGAGATCAATCAAGTGGCAGAGGATGAGCTGACTTCTGATTTAAACGCAGATGCGAACCCACTGGTCTAGTCTACAGTTGTTGATTGCAGCCCACATTTGTGAATGCGACACCCTTTCGAAAACCTTTTGTATGTATGAAGAAAGGGACTAGTCAATGTGTGGGAAACCGACTCTATGTGTCCATTATTACACTGCGAGTCAAATTTGTTGCCAAGTTTCTGGATCATGTATATGCATCTTCTTAAAGTCCAGTCCAACGGTGCTACCACAGAATCCAAAAGTCATGGTGCCTCACTGGTTGAGAGCGTGGCACCATAAACACGATCTCTAGCACGACATGAAGAGCAGGAAAAAGAACCACTACTCGTGCAAGAGCGCGAGACATCAACATGATACGGTGCGTTATTGGAGGTGCACAGTTGAACTTGTTCTAATTAAGAACATGAATGAGAAGTGCGCATTTTTGAGATTCGGCCGAGTACTACGTACAAAATTTTGGAAAAAAAGTACCATATCGATCGCTCGTTATAATTTATTTGCTTAAACAGTGTCATAACTATTTCTTTTGTTGTTCGTGTTCGTGTTCACATTGCTATGTTTTAGGCTTTTAGCCGATTAGGGTTTTCGGTTGATGAGTATATATGATAACTTCAACAGTTCAACGAGAATTATAAAAAAAAAAAATAAACGAAATAGCTTTTTTCTCCTATCCTATCTCTTGTGTCAAAATTAAGCTATGTGGCAAAAAGCAACTCCAAATTAATGATTCCTTCATAGCGCACATAAGATAGGCGAAAGAACTCACCCAAGCAGGGGGAATCCTATTCCTATACACAAGCTCCCCAGCACAAGAATGGCACATTTGGATTCAGAAAAGTTAGATTGGTGGAGTTGCAGGCCATTGAAGGACCCAGCAGCAAACCCAGTGCGGCCTTTGAACTCCGCTCCTCCACTTTACAGCCCGATCCAAAGACTTTTGAGAACCCAATACCCTTCACCATCATCATCATCATCAACCAACTGTCATCAATCATCACACCCTCTCTACCCTCACTCACTCCCACGAACATTAAACAAAGGGCGAACAGGGAGGAAAAGTGGGCTGCAATCATCACTACATCAAATACACACTCCTCGATCATTTAGGTACGTGCATGCATAAATATGTCATGCATTGATATTAATTAAGTCAGTTTGCATCAACTTAATTCTCTTCAATTTATCGATTCGAATTATAATTTGTTTCTAACTTTCTTTCAAGGACTTTACGCTTTTCCGCCAACCTCCATCTCATGGCGATTCTCGGAGGTATGACTATTGGGTATGCCCAAGCTGTAACAGGTATGTCAAATTGTTAGTGCTTACCATAAAGCTTAAATATACTTATGACTAGTATGATCCGGTGATGAATAGAAAATATCAGATTCGGGAGTTTGCTTGTAGCTTACAAGCTAGATAACGATGTTGGTGTTGATAAACTTTTACTTTATTATTCAATAAACATTACTAATGTCATAGTTACAATATATAAGCGAATAAACCAAATACGTAACCCTAGTTAACCCCAAACCTTACTATCAATCCTAGCCTACTCGACGCCAATACCACAAGAAAATTCCTGATTGGACTACTAAGCCCATGCACTACTACCCCTACCAATAGGGTTGGCCAATCAGTTTTTGGTTACCAAGTAACCGCCGGTTAGAAGGTGATGGAGATGCTTTGGTTAGCCGAGTAACTAGAGTCGATTAACTGTGATTATACGGCTAACCAGAGCTAACCGACTTTGCCTCCGTCCCCGAAGCCAAATTGGCCTAACACCCCCAAATCAACAAGCAAACCATAATCGACCACGAACAAGAACCATTCACCCTTCAATTTCGTCCCTCCGCTCCCCGACTTCACGCTGCCTCCGTCTCCGATCTCTGCTCCCATTACTCCAAGCAGAAGCCTCAGATCGGACCAACAAAGTTCGCGGAACAACCGGTCACTGACGTCGTCCTAGACA